AAAGGAAGTGGATGGTTAGGAATAGAGAGGGAGACGGGTGGATAAAGGAGGTGGATAGGAAGAGAGGAAGAGAGAGGGAGACGGGAGGATAAAGGAGGTGGATGGTTAGGAAGAGAGGAAGAAAGAGGGAGACGGATGGATAAAGGAGGTGGATGGTTAGGAAGAGAGAGGGAGACGGGTGGATAAAGGAGGTGGATGGTTAGGAAGAGAGAGGGAGACGGGTGGATAAAGGAGGTGGATGGTTAGGAAGAGAGAGGGAGACGGGTGGATAATGGAGGTGGATGGTTAGGAAGAGAGAGGGAGACGGGTGGATAAAGGAGGTGGATGGTTAGGAAGAGAGAGGAAGACGGGTGGATAAAGGAGGTGGATGGTTAGGAAGAGAGAGGGAGACGGGTGGATAATGGAGGTGGATGGTTAGGAAGAGAGAGGGAGACGGGTGGATAAAGGAGGTGGATGGTTAGGAAGAGAGAGGAAGACGGGTGGATAAAGGAGGTGGATGGTTAGGAAGAGAGGAAGAGAGAGGGAGACGGGTGGATAAGGGAGGTGGATGGTTAGGAAGAGAGGAAGAAAGAGGGAGACGGGTGGATAAAGGAGGTGGATGGTTAGGAAGAGAGGAAGAGAGAGGGAGACGGGTGGATAAGGGAGGTGGATGGTTAGGAAGAGAGGAAGAGAGAGGGAGACGGGTGGATAAAGGAGGTGGATGGTAGGAAGAGAGGAAGAAGGGAGACGGGGAGACTTGGGTGGAGAAGGGAGGTGGATTGGATGGTTAGGAAGAGAGGAAGAAGAGAGGGAGACGGGTGGATAAAGGAGGTGGATGGTTATGAAGAGAGGAAGAGAGAGGGAGACGGGTGGATAAGGGAGGTGGATGGTTAGGAAGAGAGGAAGAAAGAGGGAGACGGGTGGATAAGGAGGGTGGATGGTTAGGAAGAGAGGAAGAGAGAGGGAGGACGGGTGGATAAGGTGAGGTGGATGGTTAGGAAGAGAGGAAGAAGAGAGGAGACGGGTGGATAAGGGAGGTGGATAGGAAGAGAGGAAGAAAGAGGGAGACGGGTGGATAAGGAGGTGGATGGTTAGGAAGAGAGGAAGAAAGAGGGAGACGGATGGATAAAGGAGGTGATGGTTAGGAAGAGAGGAAGAAAGAGGGAGACGGGTGATAAAGGAGGTGGATGGTTAGGAAGAGAGAGGAGACGGGTGGATAAGGAGGTGGATGGTTAGGAAGAGAGAGGAGACGGGTGGATAAAGAGGTGGATGGTTAGGAAGAGAGAGGAGACGGGTGGATAAAGAGGTGGATGGTTAGGAAGAGAGAGGAAGACGGGTGGATAAAGGAGGTGATGGTTAGGAAGAGAGAGGAGACGGGTGGATAAGGAGGTGGATGGTTAGGAAGAGAGGAAGAAAGAGGGAGACGGGTGATAAAGGAGGTGGATGGTAGGAAGAGAGAGGGAGACGGGTGATAAAGGAGGTGGATAGGAAGAGAGGAAGAAAGAGGGAGACGGATGGATAAAGGAGGTGGATAGGAAGAGAGGAAGAAAGAGGGAGACGGGTGATAAAGGAGGTGGATAGGAAGAGAGGAAGAGAGAGGAGACGGGTGGATAAAGGAGGTGATGGTTAGGAAGAGAGAGGGAGACGGGTGATAAAGGAGGTGGATGTTAGGAAGAGAGGAAGAGAGAGGAGACGGGTGGATAAAGGAGGTGATGGTTAGGAAGAGAGAGGAGACGGGTGGATAAAGAGGTGGATGGTTAGGAAGAGAGAGGAAGACGGGTGGATAAAGAGGTGGATGGTTAGGAAGAGAGAGGAGACGGGTGGATAAAGGAGGTGATGGTTAGGAAGAGAGAGGAGACGGGTGGATAAGGAGGTGGATGGTTAGGAAGAGAGAGGGAGACGGGTGGATAAAGGAGGTGATGGTTAGGAAGAGAGAGGAGACGGGTGGATAAAGGAGGTGATGGTTAGGAAGAGAGAGGGAGACGGGTGATAAAGGAGGTGGATGGTTAGGAAGAGAGGAAGAAAGAGGGAGACGGGTGGATAAAGAGGTGGATGGTTAGGAAGAGAGGAAGAAAGAGGGAGACGGGTGATAAAGGAGGTGGATGGTTAGGAAGAGAGAGGAGACGGGTGGATAAAGGAGGTGGATGTTAGGAAGAGAGGAAGAAAGAGGGAGACGGATGGATAAAGGAGGTGGATGGTTAGGAAGAGAGAGGAGACGGGTGGATAAAGAGGTGGATGGTTAGGAAGAGAGAGGAAGACGGGTGGATAAAGGAGGTGATGGTTAGGAAGAGAGAGGGAGACGGGTGATAAAGGAGGTGGATGGTTAGGAGAGAGGAAGAGAGAGGAGACGGGTGGATAAAGAGGTGGATGGTTAGGAAGAGAGGAAGAAAGAGGGAGACGGATGGATAAAGGAGGTGATGGTTAGGAAGAGAGAGGAGACGGGTGGATAAAGGAGGTGGATGTTAGGAAGAGAGGAAGAAAGAGGGAGACGGGTGGATAAAGAGGTGGATGGTTAGGAAGA